GACAATTGCATTACACTAGTTTGGTTCTATCCCTTACAGTATGCTATTTGATATAAATCATGCGACGAGAGACACAACTAGATAAATGGATAAATAAAAGGTTTTTGGCTATTCATTAACTAATAGGGAAATGTTTAGTATTCGTTTCATATTATTTGCAAAGTCTTAAACTTGTTTTTCATGATCCCTTACTTCCAAATTTACTACCTTACTTTCAAACTTACTTTCACTTTTCCTTTACGCTGTTGCGGACTTTTTAAAATACTTACATCATTTATGGTGATAACGTCGACATATTTGACATTTCTTGTCCTCGTTGATATAATTATGCATATTTTAGTTGAAAGATTGATTTTCTTTTATCTTGTATATTAAACTGCTTTTTATTGTTTTCATATGTTTTCTTACAAAGGCATATTGTAACGGCTATGATATTATTTCTTCATTTTACAAATAGGTAATTCTACATAACGACCAAGATAATGATAATAAAAAATGCATTTACAATATAATAGTGAGAATATCATCTAATAATGTGAAGGCTACTATTTCATTAACAATTTTTGTCCGGTTTTGACTTTCGTAGTGGTATAATACAAATTCTCAGTGGCTTCCCGTTGCCTATTTATTATATATTCTGAATTTAGATGTCTTGAACTAAATTTGATAAATATCAATTACAAATAAATCAAATCTTACGAGACAATCGGTCTCCGCTATCGATAATTGTTCTACGGTAAATCTAAGGTTGTATAGTAATTGCGGATTGATTGGTAATTAAGCGAAATCATTGGAAAATGTTGCAGCTAACAAACTGATTTTCACCCAACATCCAATTTTCCTGTAACACGATAATTTTAACATTACAAAGTAGTTTATTCTTTTATTCCATAAGGCAATATGCCCATGATGGCATTACAAGCATGTTATAAATGGCGAACAATGACAAGCAAAAAATGTACCTAAAACATCAATAATTGGAGAAGTTCGAACATGAATATTACAAACATAAGAACATACACACACACGCGCGCACGCATTCACGCTCGCACGCACGCACGCACACACACACACACACACACACACACACACACACACACACACACTCACGCGCATATATATATATATGTACATACATATAAGTCTTACGGATGTAATGCGCAGATCATATTGATATACATGTATTCATAAATTATATTTGATACATTAAACCGATCTCAGTCATTGTGTCTAAAACGACCTCAATATCGAGCTATTGGTCTTGACGAGACGAAATTTAAGACCAATATTAAGGAGATATCGTAAGTATTTCATAAGTATTTCAACTTAATATTTTCATTAAAGTAATAATACTTAACATTTAATAAGGATGTAATCTTAAAATGCATCGAGAGTTGGAGAGAAAAAAAAAATAATTGTATCTACGCATTACTTCCGTACAACACATTATTTCAATAATAATAATAATAATTGTATCTACGTATTACTTCCGTACAACACATTATTTCGCTTTTCAAAAGCTTTAGATACATAAATTCCAAGTTTCCTAACAATTTTTACATTTTCTATTGTTAACAATTCAATAAATTTAATCATGTTTGGATGCTTCCAATATCTTTTATGTATATATATTTTCCTTAAATCAGTGTACAGTGAACATTCAAGAATAAAATGATATTCGTCTTCTAACATATTACATATAGTACATTTTCTTTCATCAATTGGTGTTCTTAATGGTCTAGTCCATCTACCTGCCTCTATTTGCAATCTGTGAGAAGACACTCTTAATCTTATCAATGAAAAACAAAACTTATTAACTGTAATGTGATCTAGATAATCTTGAAACTTGAAAACTGCTATATTTCTATAAAATAATGCTCGTGGTGAACTTTGTATCCTATCATGCCAGTTTTGAACAAAATTATCTTTCAATCTTTGTTTTACTAATTCTAGAAATATGTCTGCATTTCCTACATTTTGTTGTAACCAAACTTCATAAAAACCTAAAACACATAATACATTTTTTTCAATCGTGAACACCAATTAACTTTAGTTGGATTATTTTCAAAATCGTTCTTAAGCAATTGATATATCTTATAAATGTACCTATTCTCGTTACTTCTTAAAATTTTTATCCAGTATTTAATGATATTAAACAAATGTCTACACTGAAAAGATATTCTTCCAAGTTCGCCGTAAATAAAGTCATTTTGGGTTGTTTTCTTAACACCTAAAATCTGTTTACAAAACTGCAAATGTGTTCTTTCAATTGACTGGCTTAAACTAAAACCCATAACTTCACTACCATAATGTAATATACTTTTAGGTGCAATTAAAACATCAAATAACACTAACTTATGTCTAGGTTTAATGTATGTAAACTTATATAAATATTTATTTAATTTAAAAATGGCTTTCTGGGCCTGATCTGATAATTTAGTTTGTGCAGTAGTAAAAGAACCGCCACACGTAAAAACAATACCTAGATATGTAAACTTATTCACAACTTCAATTAAATTTTCATTATAATAAAACATAAGGTTATCAGGAAGTCTTCCACCTTTCTTGAAAATCATTATTTTTGTTTTCTCTACATTAACTTTTAACTTCCAATTGTCACAATAATCACTTAATAAATTGATACAAGTCTGTAATTCAACTGCTGAGTTAGCAAAAATAACAATATCATCAGCATATAAGAGCAAAAATAATTTAAACATGCTTATATCAAGGCCTTCAACATCACTATGTATAAAACTATCTTCAAGGTCATTTAACAACATAGAAAAAAGGAAAGGTGATAAACATTCTCCTTGTCTTACACCAAGAGCACATGTGAATTCAACACTTAATTTGTTTAAATATTTAACCCTTGATTTCACATTTTCATACATTGACTGAATAATATTCAAAATTTTACCACGTAATCCTAGTTTTATAAGCTTATACCACATATTTTCTCTGACTACATAATCGAATGCTTTGCTAAAATCAACAAATAAACAGAATAATTGTTTTCCTTGATTAATGAAATGCGAAATTAAACCATTTAATACAAAAACATTATCTATAGTGCTCATTTCAGACCTAAAACCAGCTTGCGCTTCAATATATACATTATAATATTCAGCCCAACATTTCAGCCTATTATTTATTACACTTGTAAATAATTTTCCCAAGTTACTTAATAATGTTATCCCCCTGTAGTTTTCAACATCATCTAATTTGCCCTTTTTATGTAAAGGAATTACGTTACCTTCGGACCAGCGCTCCGGAAAATATCCTAAATCAAATTTTTTATTAAATAACAAACAAATATATGGTGCGAGCACGTCTCTGCCTGCAATAAAAAATTCATTAAGTAATTAATCCGGTCCGGCTGAGCGATTATATTTTAATTTCTTAATTGCTGCTATTACCTCGTCCGAAGAAAGTTCAATATTTAGCTCCTCAAACATGACCTTAAACTCATTGTTTTTATATTTGTTATTAAAGTCTAAAATATCCTCGTCTGGTACAAAAAATCTATTTTCCGGATTATTTACAGCTTTAAAATATCTCTCAAAAACTGACAGCGGAATATTTGCATTTCTTATACCGGAAGCTTCCTTAAGCATGTTCCAATAAAGTCGTGCATTTTTTAGCCTGCAATTTTCAAATTCATTTGTTTTCTGCTTATCATAATCATACCTACATTTTCTCAATAAAAGTTTATAATCTGATCTTGCTTTTACCATATTTATTCTATTAACATCACATGGATTATTACGGAAATTATTCAAACAACTTAAAAACACATTTCTTTTGTCGTGACATGCCTCTGTATACCAGGGATTATCACTTTTAGTTGTAACATTACATTTTGTATTTACAATCGGTTTAACACTCTTTTTAAACAACGGTGACGCAACACTATCTATTATACTTTCAAAATCACACAAGCACGCGTCAATATTGCTATTATCAGTGCATAACACTATATTTTCAGCTATGCTAATTAATTCATTATGTACATCGTCACTGTTTAAACGACTTACAAATTCTTCACTTAATTCATGATTCCAAGTATATTTAGCATTTAAACTCTCAAAACTATCATTTTCACAAATATCAGCTTCTGTGGGTAACATTTTATCAAACAATAACGAAAATTCAATTAAACAATGGTCAGATAAAATATTTGGTTCATTTACATGAAAATAATCTACATGCTCAAAAAGTTCAGGCTTACATAAAACGTAATCTATCACGCTCGAGCCTCGATTATTAACAAAAGTATACTGACCAACATTCGAGTCATTCCCTAATCTTCCATTCATTATCCTGTAACCGGTTTGTTTACAAAAATCAATCAAGTGTAGACCGTTATTGTTAACATGACCTTGATCTTTTGACCTTCTAGGTAAATCAGTATCACAAAAATAATCATCTGGTAACATTTCAAGATGCGAGATATCATCATCAGAGACAAAATCTTTCAAAATAGATGTGCGTGCATTATAGTCACCACAAAGAATAAAATGTGCATTACCATTACAATGATTTTCTACATTAATACATGAATCTAATAAACGATCAAAAATATTATCTTCAACCAACGACTGCCTACTGCTATCATCGGGTAAAACATAGCAAAGTCCCACATAAATATCTTTTGAAATGTTCAATACTTCTGAGCTTAATTTCACCCATAATATGTCATCCTTACTTTTAAAAAACAAAGTATCTGTACCAACCAAATGACTTTTAATATAGATAATCATACCTCCCGAATTTCGTTTACACGTCTTTTTCACAGTAGTTCTATTTAAAACAAAATATTCATAGCCATTCACATCTAAATCAGAATAATTGTCTGTCCATGTTTCAGTTAATAATATTATATCGTGTTCATCAAATATGAGTTTTAGATCTTTTAATTTCAATTTATTTGTTCTTTTTGATATTAACCCATTGATATTCAGGAGCCCAAAACGAATTCGAAACTTCTCCGTGTTGTCCTAGTTGTTGGCATGTGTACAAGCACGTGGGTCATTGTCACTCTGTTTACCTGTTGTGCTATTTTTAGTACTGGGTGAAATCCCATTTCTATTTCTGGATACACTTCTACTGTATGGATTAGCCGACTGAGAACGCTTTACACTGCGACATAGTGTTTTCACTTTATCATAATATCAAACAAACTTATGTGTGTTATTGTTCATGTAATAGAAAAAATGGACAAATAAATTATTGTCAAAACCACTTAATACAAAAAATGGTCACATTTCGATTTGTTTAAGACTGTCTCAAATGTTATCTATTGTCAATATGCCCTAGCAAAGGATGACATTCTGCATGATTCTAGGATTGTAATAAATTTTGTTAGAAGCCTTTCAATATCATTCTTTATACATTGGCGCTTGTAGAGCTTGACACATTGTTTAATTAAAACACGAAAAAAAAAAAAACAAGATAAAAAGTAAGGGCGTTGTTTTAACCCCCACGAGTCCCTGCAACACATGACAACCTACAAGGATCCAAACAGGACATTTAAAAAACAAGCCATGGTATAAGGCAAAGCATGAACGGAGTGGATACTCCAATAATATATAATGGCAAATAATAGAAACCGGCAAGAAAATCAAAGAAGACGATTAATTCATTGGCCCACAAACGTAAAGGGTTATTGGAAGGGTACTTGTGGGTCGGAGAAGGGAAACGCGCAAAGAGCATACAAACAGCATCCCCTCGACAGACATATATGTTGTGTGTTTTTTTTTAATTTGTGTCTATAACTTGTTGAATATATAGCATTAAAATGGTGGCAGTTTTGTTTAGTGTGTAAAATCTGTTTTATTCATATATGAATGCCTTTCCATGTTGCTCTGTATTGTTAATAATTTATTATTTATTTTTATTTTCTTTATATATCTGTTAAATAGCATACTGTTTTACTTTGAATTATGCTCTTGTCACAGATGCATTTTTGATATGTATAATAAAATTTACCAAAGTTATAGAATGTATTTGTTTTTAGTTGTTTTTAAATTTTGATTTGAAATTCTGGAAACAAAGTGATCCCTCGGAAGCATTAATCACAACAAAATTGCAAGAGAATTGCAGACTCGGTTTGATTGAGTCTGTACATGAGGGATAATGAATAAGTGCAACATCCCTCACGCCCCCTAGCACCGGCTTGAGCGGTACTCAATTCTCAACACTTAATAGTGCTGGCATCAATGATCCCGAAGGACCAGAAAATATAACAACACTGAAGTGAAGTACGGGGCAACTTTTTACAGCCTTTTTGAAGCCTTCTTTATGTATCAAAAATGTAGTTTTATCGAAATTCTATACATAGTCATAAGAAAATGCTGTGTTGCTGAGACGGGAAACGATATTAAGTAATGAATGTCATATACGATATTAGCAATTGCGTTTGAATAATGTCTTAGTGAGTTTCCAAGCCGTTTAACGCCCTGGTGCCGATGCGTTAGTATATTCGTTTCGTGAATGTTTTCTTTCGTTATCAAGGATTTTATAGAATATTAATAATAATTAAGAATATTAATTTTAAACATTTGAAATAGACTAGCATTTGATTAGACTGAAGTGGAAAACATAAATGTACTTTTGTTTATATTCAAATTTTCATTTTAGTACGACAGGTATTGTGAACTTAAATACACAAATACATGTATAAAACTATACTCATAAAAATAAGAGAAGAAAAAAACAATAACCTTAATTTTACCAATTAATTTGGAAAAGTTAAAAAAAAGGAATAAAATAAATTTATGCACGGAAAAAAAATTTCTTTCTTTATAAAAGAAACCAAAATAAAAATTGATAAATGGGATAAAACCATATATCACCAACTTCGTTTCCTCTCGTCTGAATATTGGTAACAATTTGCAATACAAATAGGTACAAACATTATCTTTATGAAGGTCAGATAAAAAAGGTATAATTATGTTAAGTGCGATGTACTTAAAATAATAACTGTCAAATATTTGGTACTTGTACACAGCTTACCTTTTTTAAAGAAATGTCTTGTTGAACGTATCGTCGTTAATTTCATGAACGTATAACGTACTTTTCTGCGTAAGCAGGTGATACTTCTAAAACTGGTGCTAGGTGGCGTGGACGGTTCCCTGTGCTGATCTACGAGACAAACACAAAATTTATATTTTTAGGCTTTAGAGGGATCACTTTGTTTCCAGAATTTTGTACTTCACAACAGCAGGTGTCAAGTGCCGTGTGGCAGCCGTAAAAAGTTGCCCCGTACTTCACTTCAGTGTTGTTATATTTTCTGGTCCTTCGGGATCATTGATGCCAACGCTATAAAGTGTTGAGAATTGAGTACCGCTCAAGCCGGTGCTAGGGGGCGTGAGGGATGTTGCACTTATTTATTATCCCTCATGTACAGACTCAATCAAACCGAGCCTGCAATTCTTATGTTATTTTGTTGTGATTAATGCTTCCGAGGGATCACTTTGTTTCCAGAATTTTGTACTTCACAACAGCAGGTGTCAAGTGCCGTGTGGCAGCCGTAAAAAGTTGCCCCGTACTTCACTTCAGTGTTGTTATATTTTCTGGTCCTTCGGGATCATTGATGCCAACGCTATAAAGTGTTGAGAATTGAGTACCGCTCAAGCCGGTGCTAGGGGGCGTGAGGGATGTTGCACTTATTCATTATCCCTCATGTACAGACTCAATCAAACCGAGTCTGCAATTCTTATGTTATTTTGTTGTGATTAATGCTTCCGAGGGATCACTTTGTTTCCAGAATTTTTTAGATCTTATAAGAGTCTTTTTAAATTTGGTAAGAGGAGATGTTGTTTTAGGAAATGGTCGATAACACTGAATGGCAGACGACGCACACACTGCATTCATATAATTTCACCATTGAGCACTTTGTGTTTAGGTGAACTACAAAAATATTTTTATTCCCATAGTGTTCTTAAATATCTAGCTTTTAGGTTTCATAGAAACATATATGCTAATCTCAAAATATTTTTTACACAATTGTTGCATAATAAATGATAATTTTGTTCGTAGGATATACTTAAGAACGATGTTTCTTAGCTGTCAATATTTCAGTGAATATGGACATATGTACAACGTAGAAATATAGTTACCAATTACTGTCATGCATTTAATAAACGAGGTCTCAATGGGAAATTTTGATGCTTCTTAGAGCCTTAAAATTTGATTTCATACAGTGAAATATGACATCTTATCATCCTTTGTCGGATTAAATGTTTCTAAATTGTAACACAAGGTACAAGGTTTTTGTCTATGATATACGATAATATGATGCTTTCATACATATTGAAGACAAACGATCAAAACAATGTATTGTGTTGAAAAAGTATGTCTATGGTATTACCAATATTTTTATTAAATAATTTAATTTGTATTGTAAAATCATTCGTTTATTGCCAATCAATTGTTTTTGTTAACGTAAATTTGGTTATACTGTCGTATTAATGGTTTTACCTTTAACTACGCTAACGTATTTTAAATCATGAATGTAAACGATATGATTTATTAAAAATTGAAAATGATTAAGATATTTCAATTTGCAATATTTATAGTTAGAGATATATAAGAAAGGAAACAGCTCATGAATTTTCCGTATAAGTAATAGAAAGAGCACCGAAACACGAGGCTATCTGATTTGTACGAGGGGGCGTAGCCCCCGAGTATTAATCAGATTGCCGAGTGTTTTGGTGTTCTTTCTCTTTTGTATCATAGTCAAACATAAAAGCACGTTCCCTGTTGTCACAATATGAAACCCCGGCAAAAATGAACCAATGAACGAACATCTGAATATGACATTTCTGTCGCTTTCCCTTTCTCTGCCGTCACAATATGTAAACCCCAGCAAAAATGAGCCAATCAATGGGCATGCTCTGGAGTGCGGGTAACTAATACCCGCATTCCAGTTAACGCACTGTGCATGTATATGTATATAATTTAACCCTGACACATTTTCAACAGAAAGATCTCCAAACTATGATACAATATATATTTGTCTCTTTAATAAATAAAGATGTATGATACAATTATTTAATTCAATAAGCAACCGTTAAACTTTATTTCCACCTTTTTATAAAGTATTTTGTAGGCAAGGGGTTATTATATGTCAAGTGGGTATACTGTTCTGTTCTTATAGCAAAATTACAACCAGACCTTCTTAACGTGAATGCATAGAAAACATAACTTTGTATTCACATTGAAAACATGAAAGTGTAGAATAATGGATAGTTTTTATATTTGTCCCAATTTTATTCCAAAGAAACTATCACCGGCTATAACATCATCATCACGTGAACTTTACTTTCAAACGGTATGTCTCGTCTGTCTGCATTTACTATAAATTTGAACAAATGTCATTTGTTTACTGTCATGTTTTTGACATACGAGCACTCGAGGGAAAGTTCAGACATTTAATAAGGTCGATGAGAGATCGCTACCGCCTCTGGTACTTGAAACTTTTTTATGGGGATATATATTTTTAATGCAAGGATGGCTGTCTTACGATAACAGGCCGTTTCTAATAATTTTGAACTACATTATGTCAAATGAGTAATAGTAAATCAAATGAATTGAAATTACATATAGTCGTAATCTCACCCTAAAGAACGTGTTCAGTATCGCGCTTTCCGGTTGCAGTACATTATTTTCAACATAGAAGATTATTTGTGGGGAAGACAGGTAGTTTTTTATTACTTCGGTCTATACTACAAGTTTCATAAGGATGATTTTGTGCTTCGCCTGTAAGGAACTTGATCCGGCATCTAGTCATATATTTTCCGCTGTATCATTTACATGTATATTGGCTCATGAATGTATAAAATTGACAATTTGAAAATACAAATCAAGAGGAGACCAACGCATTTTTCCCCATTTTC